GTTTTTCCGACATTTTTGGCGTAGAAGTAAAGAAACAAATGTCGTTGAGGTGAGAAAAGTTGTTTCAAAAGTTGACGCGAGCGCGCTTCTTTTTCCCGCCTTGTCAAAAGCTAGCCAATCAGAATCGCGATGTACACGGACTTTCGTACGTACGTATGTATGTATGTATGTACGGAAGGACAACTGGGCTTCCTGTGTCGGTTGATCAAAACTCAGCTCCATGGGTTTACCTTTTTTTCTTAGTTATGGTGCTCCGCTCGCGCGGGCCTTCGGCCCGCGCGGGAGCTCCGCTATAAATACGATTATAAATTTAGAACGTGATCAAATGACAAGGAAAAGAATTCTCTTATCGTTCGTTTGCATAGACGGATAACTACTGATGCGAGCCATTGATGAAATTTCTTCGGCCTTCCTGAGATATTTCTGAAATAAATCATTGTGATGATTTCGAGTTCACAAATCCGCAATGCTCCACAAGCTGAGTTGAACTCTCTTTAATTCCGCGCGAGTTTAAGAGCGTGTCGAAAAGAGGTCAGGATGACTAGACTACTTCATTTTAAGAGTCGTTCCTACTGTTAGAACACAGATAGTAATTTGATGAAATAACAAAGAGAGATATGTTATACAAAAAAAAAAACAAAACAAAACAAAAAAAAAAAAAACGATGATGTCCAGTAGAACAATAGGCATTGTCTGACATAATTGTAATCCTTTGTTGTTGTTTTTTTGTCTCTATCAATCACAAGCTTCGTTCTGACGGTCGTGGTCGACGCCATTCTGATGAATGTGATCAAAAAGAAAAGTTGATCGAATTGAGCGCCTTTGCCCATACCATCGTCATTGAAGTAAATAACATGCTTAATATCTTACCGATAATTTATATTTTCCCAGTTGCATTTTCTCCTAACGAATCTAACCTTCCTAACCGTCATTTTCGCAATTTTTGCTGCGATTGCTAGGTCGACGTACTTTCACAGATATCATAATAGATATGGATTTGTCTTGTCTTTCTGAAGAAACTTTTGTTAGCTTATCTTATAGTGCACTGAATACGAATTTACAAGTTAATCCTTTACAATTATTCACTAGGAACAAAATGACCGAACTAAAAAGTATTTGTACAAAATCATTTGAAAATTATGCTTATATTTGACAACTGACGATGTGAGCAGACATTGTTAATAGCGGGAGAAACAATCTCCCTCTACTWGCTATGGAACAGAGTTCCTCTCCCCAGGCGTAGCTTATTTCTGCT